GTGTGCGCGTGCGTGCGTGCGTGTGTGCGTGCGTGTGTGTGTGTGTGTGTGTGTGTGTGTGTGTGTGTAGATGTGCCTTGGTGTGGAGTGTTGAAGTCAAGAACAACTTGTGAGAGTTAGTTCTCTCCTCCCACTTTGTGGGTCCTTGGAATCAAACTCAGTTGTCAGTCTTAGCAGAATGTGCCTTTATCCGCCGAGCGTCTCACCAGCCCAAAGACATCTTTTTATACTCACTAGTTAGAAATTAAGAGTTTGAAGAGGAGAAAGAGGGTTGTGAGTTTGAGACCAGCCTGCACTACATAGTGGGATCCTGTCTCTAAAAAAAAGGCGGGGAGCTTAGGGGCTCAGTCAGTATAGTGCTTGCCTATTGAGTTGGTTAGTTTTCAACTATTAGAGTAATCTGGAAAGAGGAAACCTCACTTGAGGAATTGCTGCCATCAGACTGCTTACAAGGCAAGTCTGAGGGGCATTTTCTTGATTAATGATTGTTGTGGGAAGACAGTGCCCACTGTATTTATAGCACCGTTGGGCAGGAGATCTTGGATGATATAAGAAAGCAAGCTGAGGAGGCTGAAGAGATGACTCAGAGGTTATGAGCACTGGCTGCTCTCCCAGATGACCCAGGTTCAATTCCCAGCACCCACATGGCAGCTCACAACTGTCTGTAACTCCAGTTCCAGAGGACTGGACATCCTCACACAGATGCACAGGCAGGCAAACTGCCAATTCGTGTAAAATAAAACATGTAAATTGAATTTTAAAAAGCAAGCTGAGTGGGCCAAAGAGAGAAAACAGTAAATAGCATATACCATGATGGTCTTTGCATCAGTTCCTGCCTCCAGACTTCTGTCCCGAGGTCCTGCCCTCGCTTTCCTTGATAATAAATAGACAATAACCTGTTTGGTTTTGTTTAGTGTTTCATCACAGTAACTGAAAATCAAGCTAGGACGCCTCACATGCACAAAGCCCTGGGTTATCTCCCAGTGCCACATAAATGGGGTATGGTGGTACACACCTTTGGTCCCAGCACTTGGGAGGTGGTGGCAGTAGAATCAGGAGTTAGATCATCCTCTGCCACATGGTAAGTTGGAGATCAGCTTGGTCCCATCAAACAAACAAAAAGTCTAGATGGCAGCGAACGGAATGAATTAGTTGCTCTAAAAAAGCTGTGGGCTGAAGAGGTGGCTCACTGGTTAAGAGCACTTGCTCTTGCCAGGAACCTGTGTTTGGTCCCCAGCACCCATAAGGCGACTCACAGTCATCCATAACTCCAGTTCCAGGACATCTGATGCCCCTTTCTGGCCTCCAAGGGCACCAGGCATGCTTGTAGTGCACATACATACATGCAGGCAAAACACTCACACATGCAAAAATTTTTAAAAAATTATTTTACATAACATGTAAAATAAAAAAGTTAAAATAAAAAAATTAAAAGTTGCAATTGAATTTGGAATATAGTACAAACCTTTTTAACAAAGTTCAATCAAAGAGGTCAAAAGAATGTAGTACTTTTCCGTTGCAGTGATGATATACAATGAGCAAAGCAATTCATAGAGTGAGGAGGAGTTTATTTTGGCTAAGAGTTCCAGCAGGAAGAGACAGGAATGGTAGCAGGAACAGGAAGTTGAAAGCCGCCACCTTCAAAACAACTGCCCAGCAGGAAGAGTGAGCTAGGTGTGGTGGGAGGCCTCTGCTCTCAAAGCCTACCCCGTGACATACTTCCTCCAGCAAGGCTGTGCCACCTAAACATCCCCCAAAAGTGCCGCCTGGGGACCAAGTATTCAGATGCCGAGACTATGGGAGCCGTTTTTCATTCATTCTACCGCAATGAAGAGCACATTTCTATCTTGTGTCAATCTACTGATTGACAGAATGTGGTAAAAGTATAAAGCAAAGTCGGAGAGCAAGGAAAAGAAAACTCGCGGAGGCTGGGGACTTCTAGAGACAGGAGCAGCTCCAGAAATGCGTGATCAAGACTGGGTGGTAGAGGGTGGGCGGCCCCTGTTTCCCGAACTAGGTAGGCTGTGAAATCACAGACGTTCCTATAGTTATGGTGGTGATTCATAACTTCTATATACGCATGCATATGTGTACAAACGTGGGCTTGTTTGATTTTAATGTCCTACAAGCTACATCCCACAGGGAGAAAAGAATCCTGGACTTGAAATGTTGACAGCCCATCAGGCTGTTGGAGGTATTATAGTTTGCCTTCTTCTAGTTTGTTAATCAAACAACCCAGACACCAACTGTTTGGCAGGCAAATCCTGACTTTACGGTGAACTCAAGCCCCAGAGAACATTTAATCTTAAAATCTCTCTTCCTCCGAATTGGCATTGTTGCTTGCATTGAGCTGAAGGAGCACAAACTGACCTCATAAACTAAGATAGCTTTGCGTGGGAGGCGGGGAGCAACGTGGCTAAGACTGAAGTGTGGCTCTTGGAGACTTAGGTATCCTGTCCTCCCTACAAAAGTGGTGGCCGCAAGACACAGCATTCACGGTGCCACTGTCTTCTTCTCTGGGATCTGAAAACTGGTTCCTCATTACCGTGGATTTATCCTAGAGGCCTTGCACACACCCAGCTATGATCTGCCACCGAGCAGCTTCCCCAGTCCTTACTTTTCATGTTGAAACAATGTCTTACTAAGTTACCGGGGCTGGCTTTGAACTACTGATAGCCCACCCTTAGTTTTCGGTTTGTTTGCTTTGCTTTGTTTCCCCGCTGAGCTGGCCTCTTTTACTCTTTTGGTAAGCTCTTCAAGCCATGACAGCCTTCTGGGGGCGAACCGTGCAAGATCCCAATGCAGACACAGTACGATGCAGACGCAGTACTACTCCAAGCACCGTCTTTTCCCTTTGCTGAGGCTCACAATACAACCTGGATTCTGGCTTTCCACATTCTGGTCTCAGAAGTGCTTTCCGCTGCACCAGTTACCTGAAGAGTCTTAGCTTTCTAGAGGCTCTTACCACCAGGCTCCAACTCTTCTAGGAATACCACAGAATGGGTTTGCTTTAATTGTGATAACCCAAGATGCGTTCTCTCAAGCAAGCTCAAGTGCCAGGGCAAGCATGTGCCACAATGCACTCGTGGAGGTCTGAGGACAGCCTGCAGGAGTCAGGTCTCTCTAGCATGTAGGTCCAAGGGACCCAGCTAAGCTTGTTGAGTTTGGCAGCAAGCATCCTCGCCTGCTGAGCTGTCTCAATGGCCCCAAGCCTTTTCTATTTGGTTGACTTCTTTATCGTTAATGTTTAGTGTTGCTTACCCAATGACACATGGCATGTAACTATTCCCACAGTTTTTAAGTCTTTTCTGTTTACTTTGATGTTTTATGTCACAAACATTTTAAAAAGCAATGTAGTAAATATGCATTTTCCCCCTAGATGACTTTTGGATTTTTTTTGCCAACTTTCTAGCATCCCCTATCTGACACCACACAAATTATACACATTTTTTTCTCTTTTCCTTGTCTTTGGTTTTTGAATTTAGGTCCTTAACCTAGGGGTTTTTTTTTTTTTACTATTATATGATATAGTATGTATGGTTTTTTAAATGCGCAGAATCTGTTAAATAAGTGTTATTATAACATGAAAAAGTTCTTATACATACTTGGACTTTTCTAGCCTCTCTGGCCCTTTCTTGTATTTGTTTTGTTTGCTGATAACTCATTTGAAACAAGGAAGGTGTTCTTTCATTTCATTCTGAAAAGCTTCTTGGTTATTTTGGTTATTTATCCTTCTGTGTAATAATTTTTCATGATTCCCACTAGGTTCACATTGAAAATTACATTAAACATAGATATTAATTGAAAAGGGAAAGATATTTCTACATTACCTTTCTCTTTCAGTATCATTGTATCGCTCTAATCTGCTTGTGGTGGTCTGAATGAAAACGGCCCCCATAGCTCATAGAGAGTTGCACTGTTGGGAGGTGTGGCCTTTATTGGAGTAGGTGTGGCCTTGTTGGAAGAAGTGTGTCACTGGACGTGTGCTTTGAGGTCTCAGAAGCTTAAGCCAGACCCAGAGATCTGAGAGAGGCTCTGCTATCCAACTAAAGCTATTTCCTTATTGATTGGGAAGATTACAGTGGGTGTGGAGTTTTTTTATTCTGTATCTACCTCCTGACTGGCTCCTTTCCATTTCCAACTCATAACTCCAGGATGGCTAATAGATCCAAATAACTAAGAGTGTCCCAAGAGATTAACCATTATTTAATGAAAACACATCATGATTCAAGGTTTAAACAATATATAAGTATCTAAGAGAAAAATGACCAATGTCTGGTGAGAGGGCTTGCTTTCTTAAGTAGTCATTTATTTTAGGACAAGCTTTGAGGAGGTACGTACCCATCTAGAGTCTCATTCTGTAGCCATAGAAAAAGAAAGTTCACAATGATACCCAACTAGGACGTTGCTATACACTGTGCTAACAAGGAAGGACAATGAATCAATGCCATTTGCCAAGATTTCTCAACAAAGTGACAAAGAGCCAAAAGACTCAGAACATTAGCTTTTACTCTGTGGCATAAAACTGGCAAGGGTCACATGCCATTAAATGTCTTTCCAGTACAGTGTTTTCAGAATACAAACCTTAAACAATATATGCAAAGAGTAAATAAAATCATATAAGTAAAACAGAATCACCATGCCTTTAAGACCTTGCAAAAAGGTCAAAAGAATCAGTGTTGTCACGTAGGAAAGGTTAACCTAAAATGCAGCAGAGAATGTGCTAAGGGAACACATAGCTTTCACCTAGGCTACTTAATCCTGAACGTGGAATTGAAGCCTGGGCAATGCTAGTCTAGATGTTAGGAGATGGCACCTTCCCTACCTACAGGTGTCAAAATGACAAATCACACATCTGAGTTCCCAGGCTGTGAATTCTGAGGTTCCTTGCCCCTTGAGACAGGAGTTATTCTGGGCACAAATGAAAGAGTAAGTTTAGAAGACATCTACAGTCACTGGGCTGTTTTGCTCTTTGTTCATGTACACAGCAAGACACTGACCTGTTGGACATAGAGTATGACGGCCGTCAGTCCAACCCAGCTGTGCAGACTGTACATGTGGGGGATACTTCGGGCACTGTGGTAATCAAACACGGCCACTACGGAGATGATGGCGAGGACGGCAGCCACAGCATTTAACCCCGCGTGGATGGATTTCATTAGGAGCTTGCTGCACTTCCAGGTCCATGGCAATCTGTACACGATGATGGCTAAGGAAACAAAGTAGTTTAAAAATCGACACAAAGTAAACCACTCGGCAGTCTCTTTTGCGGAACTTTACCCTTGTCCTCTGCTTCTCCCAGCCTCCCTTTCTCTCCTCACACCTTCTCAGCCTCCCATGTTGCCCCTTCACTCCCAAGTGTTATGCCCCAAAGAAATAGATGCACACATTCACCAGCAGACACCATTTATAGGGGCCCAAATGTCTGCTCTCAGTGCGTGGGCTAGTAATAGATCCACACTATGGAATAATATACACAGGAGACAGTGAATGCACCTTATGTGTACTTCTCAACATATACACTAAAATTCAGTAAGAAGCCCTAGAGCATTTTAAGTGTCCACATTAACTAGCATACAATGAACTTTTGAACTTTTTCTAATTTGTCACAAAGACAACAGTGTGCCCTCTCCACCCATCTGATCCATGTCAGGAAAATTCTACCTCTTTGGAAATGTGTGACAGATTGAAAATTCTGAATAATGTCTTTTGGAAGGCGGGCTCCACTCTATCAGTTGTGGTCCATGTATTTCTTAATTCCAGGAAGTAAGGAAAAGGACCCTGACACTATCAGAAACCAATATAATTTGGGCATATTAAAATTTCTTAGTTTGGAGAGATGGCTCCTGGTTAGAGTACTTACTGCTTTTGCAGAGGACTCGGGTTCAGTTCCCAGCACCCACATGGTAGCTTACAACCATCTGTAATATACAGCCACATCTGGGTAATACCTCTGACCTCCTCAGAGAACAGTCGTGCATATGGTGCAAATACATACATACATACATACAGGCACACATACAGGCAAACACTCATACACTACAAATATGGGTGCGAATGTGACCTTGTTCAAGTTTTCACTGTAGAATACCATGAGTTCCATCCTGTTGTCCCATTCCTGATGCTTTCACCAAGAGGACAGTATTTCTTTTACTTAACCCAAACTCCAAGGGATTGTTGCTCTCTGGTCAATGCGTCTGTGTGCTTTATAAAAATGCTCATTGAGGGCTGCTCAGATGACTCAGGAGGGCAAGGCACTTGTCACAAGTCTGATGACCTGAGTTTGAGCCCCAGAACCCACAAATTGTCCTCTAATCTGGACAACTGTGCCCTGTCACCCCCCCACAGACGTATACACACAGAGAGACTAAATAAATGTAATAAAAGCATGCTCATTACTGATTGATCTTGTTTCCTTGAGGACAATGAGACCCACTGTCTAATCATTTCTGGACTCGGTGAATCTCTTCGAGCCAGTTATCACAGCGCGGCTAGCTCCAGTCACTTCATTTCGTCTCAGCGTTTTCCTGCCTTGCTCTTTCTCCCTTGTGTCCCAGAGCCTAACACAGCCTCACAGTATGAAGGCCCGTGAGGGTTTTCCAAAGTCTTATTTTGAGCTAGTTGTAGATTCGCATGTAACTGTGAGAGCTCATACAGAAAGTTCTCAACACTCTCCCTCCAGGTCCCCTGGGCATCTTACTTACCCAGGACATCACAGACAGGACACCCACACCAGTGTGACTTCCTGCCCTGATAAAGGTTTCTCTAGCTCCACCCACTTGTGTGTGTGAGACCCACAACATTCTTGATAATAAACATACACAAAGCTCTTTCAGCAAACTGGCCAAAATCTAGAAACCAAATTAGTGTCAGCTCAGACACCAGGTTATTCTCCTTTTCTCCTTTAAGTATCCAGGGGCATGTCTCATATAAGCATGGAGAGTGGACGCCTCTCTCTACCCCATGACTCAGTGGCCTTTAATCTATAACATGAAGCCTTTAACAATCTGTGTGATCTGAGAATAGCAAAATTAGTGAAGTGAAAACACACAATACAGAGACACGTAAAATAACTGGAGATATAACACTCAGCGGTAGACCACTTACCTAACCGAGGCCCTGGGTTTGATTCCCAGCACTGGGGGGTGTGCAGAGATGGGGGAATTACACATTCATTCTCTGGTTTAATGTCGTTTCACACACACACACACACACACACACACACACACACACACACTATCAAACATTCAAGGACAACAAAACTTCTGGTAAAATGTTTTTTTCTTTCCAGTACTACAGGCAACATAGAGGAATGTGCCAAAACTTCACATAAAACTGAAACCAAAAAAAGAACAAAAAACAAACAAACAAAGCCCGAAAAACTGAAACCCACCTCGTGCTCCCACCACCTGGCTCAAAACTTGAGTTTTAAACCATTTGCAATCATGTAAAAGTGTGTTTGCTTTGCCGGCTGTTGCTTTGTTTAGAGCAGGATCTCACTGTTACCACCCAGGCTGCACTTGAACTCCTGACCTCAAGGAGCCTCAGCTCTCAGGTGGCAAGCAGTTTTAAACTGGTTTCTCGATAACGTTCTTTCTGCAGTAATGGCAGGGACAGAGCATATTTAAGCCTTCACTGATGGCTGTGGTCATTTTCCTGAGGGGAAAGCCTGAGGCCGTTCTGAAGTGGGTTACCTGCTTTTGTCACTGATCCAAATGAACCCAGACAACTACAATTTTAAAGCCTTGGTGGTACTTTTCCATCTCTTCTATTGTTTCCTCTCAGGCTAGGATTCTCATGAGCTCTAAGTTCAAGCCTAATTTTTTTTTGAAATGTGGTTGCTAATCGTAACATACGTTATCTGTGTGGTCAGGGCACAGGGATTTGTGTGTGTGTGTGTGTGTGTGTGTGTGTGTGTGTGTTATTTTCTGTGTGAGTAAAAGGATTCCTTATCGTTTTAACAGTAAAAGGTGTTTTATAAGTTTGTGAAGGTATAGCCAGTTAGGCTCCACCCGTCACAGGCAGCTGTGTGATGTGAAGTCTTCCTGTGAAGGACTCAAGGGGTTTTCCACATCTGCCCAGGCTTCCCAGAATCTGCACAGCTGAGTGTGTTCAAAAGGCTCTCTGGACAAGTGAAGGGTGGTGTAAAAATGCTGTTTACACATTTCCCAAAATATATAAATATCCAAAATACCGTGGGTTTAAGGAAAACTGGGTGAGCTTAACAAATCAGACCACATTTTTAAAAGAGGAAGCTACTCCTAGCAGCCGTGAAACTGTCTAGAGAGTGGCATGTATCAGCTCTTGCTCCCCAACCCAACCTAGACTGTATTCCTGAGGTTGGGTGAGAAGGAAGGAGAGGGAGCAGGAGTGGGGTGATGAAAACAAGGGTTCTTCTGGGGGCTCTGATCCGAAGGGCCATTCCCACCAGGAAAGGAGGGCAAGCGTGAAATGCAGGAGAAAGACACTCCCAGGGCCCTCCAGAGGAAAAGCAATGGGTGGTAGAACACGCTACTGTAAAAAAGTTAAGATCAAGGGGGAACTCATAACTGCATGTAATTTTCCTCAAGTCAAGACAGAAATGCAGTCAAATTATTAGCAAACTTGTTAGAGCATAGTTGCATAATCAAGACTCAGGATGTAAGAAACTATACATTCTCTAGGAGGTGATCTCTGGATTGATGCCCTCGCTCCTCCCATCTACATAAGCAAGTGTCTGTCACATGTAAAACCCGAGTCTGTCAAACTGAGATCAGGTCAAGGATAGAGGACTTAGGGGGCACATAAGTCCCCAGATACAGAAAATGCCTGATCATAGTTCTCCTATGCTTAAACCTTGTGACTCATGAAAGCACAAACATGTCTATAAACATGTCTTGCACCTGTCACATACTGGGAAGTCACAAAGTATCTGCGGAAAAAAAAATAATGAAGAAGCAATTAATTCTGTATTCTCAGCACATAAATAGATTCTCATGTTTGTTCTGTTTTGTTTTTGATTTTGTTTGTTTGTTTACTTTTGTTTTTTTTTTTTTTTTGAGATAGGGTTTCCCTGTGAAGCCCTGGCTGTCCCAGAACTCACTTTGTAGACCAGGCTGGCCTCAAAGTCAGAGAGATCTTGCCTTTGCCTCCCAAGTGCTGGGATTAAAGGTGTGCACCGCCGCCGCCACCACCTATTCTTTCAACTTTGTTTTTTAAAAGTAAGATATAGCTGGAAAGGATGGTTCCCACCTGTATTCCCAGCACTGAGAGGTAGGAGGATTATTGCTAGTTCTAGGCTAGTCTGGGCTACAGAGTGAGTCCCAGGCCACACTGGGCTACACGATACCCCGTTTCAAAAAAAGATATATTTAAACATTTGAATATATTTAGACCATACAACGTGATCTTTTGTTATGTATTATGAAATGGTTAGGTTAAACTAGCTAACTAGCTGACATCTCAGTTTTTGTTGCAATAGGTCCTCTTCTAAAATTTGTGTGTGTGTGTGTGTGTGTGTGTGTACATGTACTGCTGCCCATGTGTGAAGCTATAGGACAACTCTCAGAAATCAGTTCTGCTACCATATGGGATTTGGGATCAGGTCATCAAGCCTGGCCACAAGCACCTCTATACAGTGCACCATATCACCAGCCCAGATCCTCTTTAAAAAGTACTATCTGGGAGCTGAAGGAAAGGCTCAGAGGGAAAAGTGCTTCGTGTGTAATCATGAGGACTTCAGTGTGGGCACTGGGGCTGGAGACAGGTCCCAGGGGCTTCTTGCTGTCCAGCCAGACTATGCAAATTGGTGAGTTCTCAGTTCAGTGACACACCTTATCTCACAAAATAAGGTGGGGATGACAGAGAAGGATACTTGAAGTTGCCCTCTAGAAACACATGCACATACATGCCTAAGTGCTCCAACACAGACATGTGTACATATATACCACAAACACACACACACACACACATCACTAAAATGCCCAAATCAAAAGCTAAAGACAAACCGCACTACAGACACAAACGTTAGTTTATATAAGATCAAATGGGACTTTCAAATAAGTAAAAAGCATTTTGTTCTTGGGCCCACTTAACAGCATGAAGGGATTTTAAAACTAAGAGTAACTCATTGAGTTTGAAGTACATGGGAATTTGAAATCACTTATGAAGTCTCTGTAAACAAGGTGGGCCTTACACTTTCCTTCCTTCTTAGAATAAAGTATTCTTTTC